TCAGCCAGGGGCTTCATTACCACCCTAGACAACTTCACCAAGGCCACCTCCAAGGCCTACAATAATCTGACCATCTGACCTCAACCATGTTCATCAAATCTCCCATCAGGAACTCTTCAATCATTAGATTCTCTGTGCAGAGGACCCAGGTTTTATTTGGGGTTACTGCATAGGGTAATAATATAAGAAAAAGTTAATTAAGCCCATTTAAAGAATAAAAAACACTCAAGAGTTCTCAAAAGCAGTTCCCATTATCTGTATGTCAGGAGTAGTGCCCTCTGTAGCTGAATAACCCATTTAATGGGTATTCTAAATGTAATGGCAAGGGTCACTAAGTACAATTGCAACCAAGAAAATAGGCATCAACACCCCCCACACACACACACATTTGAACCAGAACAGACTGTTACCCATGACCATGACATTGGGCTCATCTATTGCCCCAACACAGGTGAAAGCCAGGAGCCAGAGCTCAATGACAAATCTAATGTCTACTTCCTTCCTATTGCTGAAGACAATCCATAGATATCACCACCTCTATGCTATCCCCATGAGTCTATTCATAACAGCTTCAGCACTTCAGCCCTCGTTGAAAAGTATTCATCTTTTGATCTCTCTATGAAGAAAAATCTTGTTAAAGGCAGGAAGTGAAGAAAATAATGCTAGAAAAATTCAGTGTGGAGAGAGGACTGAATCTATGGAATAATTATGGCAGAAGTGCTGACGAAACATGAGTCAGAGAAATGCTCAAGTGAACCACACAAAGGAAATGGACCTCCGCAAAGCTGTGGAGGAACCGGACACAGGCAGGAGAAAATGAGCGGAGTGACTCAGACTAACGAAGAACTGGACATGAAAAATCAACAAACTGACAAGCAAAAATAACATGTCTAAAAATATGTGTTCTACCTGAGAAAGCAGCCTAGCCTCTGCTGCTTTCCTCAGATCCCTCAAACCTCTTTTGGTCCTTCCAGATGCGCATTTCAGAGTTAAAACAGCAAGAGAGTTCCAAGGCACTCATCTTCTCACTGATCAGTAGAAAATTCCAGCAGTCTTGATTATTATCATTGATCTCTTTAGGGAGCCCTATGATAATGGGAAGACTAGCATTATGATTTGGGTTGACGATTACATGAGTAAACTTCAAATGTGCAAAAAAAGACAAATCTTGCATGTTTCTTCTCATGGAGAATCTAGATACACACGTATAGGTATGCGTGTGTATATCATGAAGGCAGAAAGGAGACTACAGAAATAGCGTGAACAAGGGACAGTAATTGGATATGAGCAAACCACAATGTGTGTATATATGAAGATGCCACAAAGAGACATCATTTTACACGCTAACTAAAAAGTTAATCAAAAAAATTTAATTTAGCCAGGTATGATGGCACATGCCTTTAATTCCAACACTTGGGAGATAGAGACAAGGTGGATCTCTGTGAGTTCAAAGCCAGCCTGATCTGCTTAGTGAACTCTAGGAAAGTCAGAGCTATGTGGAGAAACCATGTTTCAAAAAATTAATTATTGTATGTATGTGTTTGATGTGTTGGTATAAGTATATGCATGTGGAGATCGGAAGACAACTTTTGAGAGTCTGCTCCCACACCATGTATGCATGCATACATGCACACACCCTTTTAAGTTATCAGACTTGCAGGGCAGACACTTTACCAACAGACCAATTTGCCTGTCCAATAAGTGTTTGTGTGTGTGGTGGGGAAAGGTCAGAGGTAGCCATTGAATATCTTCCTCTATCTTTTTCCACTTCATTTTTTTCTTGGTTTATTTTTCTCTAGACAGAACTGTAGTGATAGGAGCGGCGGGGCTACGTTCCCGGCACCCGGCCGCCCACATGGCTAGCTTATGCCCAGAAATAATTACACGGAAACTGTATTCTTTTAAACACTGCCTGACCCATTAGTTCCAGCCTCTCATTGGCTAGCGCTTACATATTGTTCTAACCCATTTCTAATATTCTGTGTAGCCCACGAGGTGGCTTACCAGGGATGATCTTAACCTGTGTCTGCCTGGAATGGGAGAATCATGGCTACTCCTGATTCAGCTTCTTTCTCCCAGCATTCTGTTCTGTTTTCTCCACCTACCTAAGGGTTGGCCTATCAAATGGGCCTAGGCAGTTTCTTTATTAATAAGAAATCACTCCCACATCACAGTTTGTTGTAGCTTTGACTGTCCAGGCTGGCCTCAAACTCACAGAACTCTTGCTGTCTCTTCCTCCCGAGTGCTGGGATCAGAGGCGTGCACCACCACCGCCTGGCCTCCATTTCATTAAAAAAAAAAAAAGTCGCTGGCCAGAGCCCTTGAATCCCCCGTCTTTACTTCATCAGTGGCTGGGTTACCAATGTGCACTGTCACATCTGGCTTTTTACAAGGATGCAGGGAGTCAGGGGAGGGGCATATCACCATTTCAAATAGTAATAATAACAATTTATGATGAGGGCATATAAGATTCCAGATCATGCCT